AATGCTCAGAAAAAGAATTCATTAAAAAAAAAAGATTTTTGAGACCCTTAAAGTTAAAAAGTTAAATAAGGGAGTCCTGCAGCAATGTCGAACAAGAGGATATCTTTATTTGTGATTTTTGTCAATAGAATACATCTGTATATTGTATTTTGATTAAAATAGATCTAGATTTTGTAATTACACGGTGTTTTGCATATTTTCAAATGGGTACCCGGTTTGACCCTACTGGTAGGACAACATCGGATACTTTAACTTCTCCACAAAACCTTGTTATTGTTGGTAACCAAAAATTTTTTTTCCAGCAACTGGCCTCTAACGCTCGGCAATATTTTTTTTACTCTTAGATTTTTTGTAGGAAGACAAATCCGAAAAAGTACCCGGTTTTACCCTACTTTCCCCTATATACCTCGATATTTACACCTTTTTTCTAACAATAAGAGTAAAATCAAGTTCATGAACCGAGAACATGTCAGCGCCATCTGAAGCATCGCTATCTTCGATATTAAAAAAAAATAATTGTTAATGATTTATGCGCTGATGCGCATCATGTGAGATACGGACGATTGCAAACCGGATCTTTCCTAACATTTAATGTCAGCTATTAATAGACATATGCGTTGGCTTTGCATGATATTATTTTCGATTTTCAATATTAATAGACTTTTATATTACAGTTTTATATAATAAAATTTGCATAAAATATGCCACTGTCATTATACATATATTAAATGAAAATAAGCTAATTTATTTATACCATAAATTGTATTAAAAAGTTTGTGTGATTCTAGTAATTTAAATAATTATTGTAATCTTAATGAGATATCTTATTATTATAAGATTATTATAATATTATTCAGAGAAATTTAGATTTTACAATAGATTTTTATTTTTATGCTCACAATGAATTGATTTATGTAATTACATCTTCTCTGGTCATCGACTGTTTTATTTCTATACAAGGTGACACGCAATGACTGCTCACTGAGTACATAGCATTATTTTTTACCAAAAACTGAATCGGGAAGTCTTGAACCATTTTTTATAACGCTTAATAAAGGAGTTATTATTGAGTAAATTCGGGCCAATCAATGTCGACCTTTAGCCGAACGCACGTCAGTGAGCCGCGCGCCTGGTAGTGTGCGTAAGTGCTCGACGGCTACATACTTAGGCTGCGTTCCGATATTCACTGCCAGTACTGAAAACCTATAGTTTACGTCACGTAAATTATAGATTTTCAATACTGGCAGTGAATATCGGAACGTAGCCTTAGTGGGCGTTCTTTACCTGTATAATACTTCCTATACGTTGAGCTGCATATTCTATTACGTGATTGCATGATAAGAAAATATAATATATGTACAGTTATACATGCATAATATTCTAAAATAAATACAATTGCATCTATTTTTATGACTAACATAAATATCGCGTCAGTCATATATAGTGTGTTCTTTTGCACATGCAGTTGTCTTATCTTTGAGATTGATAGTACTGCAAAAATCATATACTAATTTTCCTAATATAATTTAATTTTTAATATTAATTTCATCTTATTTCAAAGAATTCAATGCAATCTGATGCAAAAAATGTTCTTTTTTTCATCGAAAGTCAGAATCGAGTATGAAATTAAATCGTATTAGCACCATCTAATCTATCGCTATTTTTAATTTCCAATCAAATCAATAGTCATGATATAACTATTTAAAACCAAAACCTTGAGTCCAAACTAGTTCTGATATTGATAGGCCACACTTATCATACCTATTCATCATACCTAACGAAGTCAAGTTTTGGCGAATAACGATAAACTCTCTTT